AATATGTTATCACAGAGGCACTGATTGGCTTGGCCAGGTGCAGTCTTGGAGCCGGCTGGCATTGGCTGTCAGACACAGTGGAAGCTTCTAGAAGCTCCTCACAGGAGCCACCCCTATAGCCCCCACACGCTACCAAAACCTTGCCATGCAAACCCAACACAGCCAGTAACTAGGCAAGGGTACAAGTGGTCACTGCTAGGTTTATGTATTGGTGTGGGCATGTGCATCCTGCAGGGTTGGGGTGTCCTTTGCCTGCTACACCCCCCTCTCTTTCTCTCTCACATGCAGTTTGTGGATGTGATGGTTGTCCTGGCAAAGTATCAAATGGGCAGACCTCACCGAAACCATGGTTTAACTTTGGTATGAGGGAATCTGTCAACTCAATATTCAACTGTTCTTGTGCTAAAAATCACTTGGCTCTTTGCACAGGCTGTTTAATCATCAGGACTTGCTGCTCATTTCAAGTTTATGCAAACAGTATCATAGAATCACAGAATGGTTTGTGTTGGAAGGGACCTTACAGATCATCTCTTTGCAACCCCCCTGCCATGGGCAGGCACACCCTCCACTAGACCAGGTTGCCCAAAGCCCCATCCAGCCTGGCCTTGAACACTTCCAGAGATGTGACTGCCACAGCCTCTCCTGGGCAACCTGTAGTATTTTCACCTGTCTATTGCTGCACTTTTTAGCCAAAAGTAAGTTTACATAAAGAAATAATATCATAAAGACTGTTGAGCAGTAGGTCTGTGCCATTTAGTCAACTTGGTTTGAGTTGCAAGCGTGGGTTTGATGGTATTGCACTGTTGTGGTTTTATTTGATGTCTCAAAGCCAAATAACAAATGGGAACGTGCTCCTTCTCCAGTTTGATTTGTGCATTAAAACCTTATGGGGTGGTCAGAAAGTAAGACAGAGAAGCAAAATTTATGCAGTTTGACTAGCTCTTCCCTGATTTTCGGCTACTTCTCTGAAACCACTGCTTAGACAGTTGGGCGACTCTCATTAGAAGCATAGGTTGTATTTTTTTGTCCTCATTCAGACACTTGGGGGAGAATCTTGGATGTCTTCTTATGCCTTGGCTCAGCTCAGATGTCTTGAAGCGTCTTGGTGCTCAGGCAGTGGAGGACGGGGTAAGCCCTCAGCCAGGCAATGTAAGCATTGTTAGGCAGGCATCTATGGACTGCATAGCTGGTGAGCCGACAGTAAAAATCCAACAAGTGGGAGCTGTAATGAAAGGCTGTTGTTTTGAAGTTCAGGTCTATGTTCACCTGGCAAGGTCTGTACAGCCCAGTCAGGTCAAGATTGTTCCTTTGGTTGAAGCAAAGGCTGTGGGAGCATTGGTGGCTGCTCAGGACGCTCCTACAGGAGGGTGATTGGGATGCAAAGGTTGGAGTGCAGCATGATGCTAAAAGGAATAAAAAACGTTACCGCAACACGCATTGCTTCGTTAGCTCAGCCAGCAGGAAATACACCCTGGAGAGCTCTCATTTGCATTTCCCCAACCATCCATCCAGTCAGTGGAGGAAAGGCAATGCAGAAAGCATCACCAAAAAAAAAGCAGTTGTGGCTTTGGCACAGTGGGAGTTCAGCTAGTTTTGCCTCTAGACAGCGGTTAGAAAATGGTCCATGCTAATCATCCAGATGGCAACTCCTTCCAAGACAAATAATCAATAGAGCATAGCTGAGTTTTGGCAGAAACGAGCCCCAAAGGTCCAGTTCACTGCAGCAACCATAGCTGCAGGACAGCATAGGGTCAAAGAGGCCAGGGTTGCCAACAGAAAAGCTGATGGCTGAACACACAGCAGGTTTTCAGTAGGTAATGAGGCTGATAATAACAGTGCCTAAAAATACAATAGCAGTCATGGACAATATTACTACTGCCTATAATTGCCCCCTGAAGATACTGCCTCATCAGCACAGTACCTGCATTGAGTGGGACCTGACCATCCCAATGTGTGTGAAAATCCTACAAAAATTTGGGCTGACTGACTGGGTTCTCTGGAGACCATGATGTCCAAGCCCAACTTGAAGCAGGGTCAGTTGGTGTCAGGTTGGTTGTGTTGGTTTAGACCACTGCTGACAAGCTTGAAACCAGACTGGGAAGGGTGCAAGTGTCTTCTGATCAGCTCTTTGCCAGAGGAAAGTATTGCTTAAGCATCCGCAAGACACTGTGGTGAGTAAATGACTAAAAGATGCCTCTCTCTTAGAGGAATTGTTTGGGGTTTGGTTTTGGGGTTTGGTTTTTTTTTCCCCAAGATATTACAGAAGGACTGAATAAACAGGGAATTTCTAGAAAATAACAAGCTACTGATGATAGCTTCAAGAGTGTCTGCTTGGTGCTTCTTTGACCTGGAGTAGTATATTCAAGTAAAATGCAAGTTCTTTATATCTGCTTACAAGTCACAGACTGCATGCAAAGATGATTCAATCCCCTTAGTCCCTGTAATGTGTAAGGTTACTCTGCAGTGTCATGCCAGAAAGCTGCCAGAGTTTGACAGAAGTATGGGGTTTTTCTACTTGAACCTCAAGCAGCTGAAGCTGGGGAGAGAGGAGCACAGGATGGATTTATATCTGCTTAAAAAAAAAAAAAAAAAAAAGTTATGCATTGGGGATTTATATTTGCGAATCGGAAAGACAGTTTTCATTTCTGTACTTGTTTGATCCATCTTTAGCTTTTAAGTTGTCATAGCTTTTTTCAAAGCACCCCTGGCCTGTTGTGACACGTTTGTTTGTCAAGCAGAAACTTTAGTGTCCCTCCTTCAAAACCTCCCTGAAAGCTCTTCTTCTGGAGATCAGCCACTCAGTACATCCCCCC